ATAGTGACCAACCATCTATCATAGTGACCAACCATTTCTGGGAAACAGAAGTAACAGGAACTGTAATAGGAACTGAAATAAACTGGAGGTAACCTGGGCAACTAACAAAAACTGAAGTATACTAGCTGCGGGGGCGGGGGAGCATTTTCTGTTATACCTTCTGCTTCACAGAAGTTCAGGCTGAGCCTGGCCCCTGGTCATCAGGTAGGGGCCTGACTTGTTTAGCTACAACAGTCTAAGTGTCTCTTGCCAGCCTGATTCTCATTCCCTGACCCTGACTGTCTCCTGTGCTTGTGCCTCACCTAGTTTATGGGAACCCTGAGAGGGAACCTCTGAGTCCTGGGTTTACTTGACCTCTCCAGGTGATGCTTGGATTGGGGTCACTCACCAGCTGTTACAGTTCACAGCATCCACTGCTGTGTTCCACTGGTGTGTTTCTCTGTGGAGGCCTCTGGGGTCCCCCGCCTTCAGTGTGTCTGGATATTTGAGCCTCCTCTCTCTTGCTGTGATCCAGGAGTCAGGGAGAAAGTGCAACCTGCCACCTCCTTTCTGTGTGTTGAGGTCTGTCTCTTCACTTTCCCTGTGGGCTCCATTTCTCCCTTCAGGTCCTTCCTGGGTCCTGGGGATCCACCTCCTTCCTTCTTTTCTTCCCCAAATTGTTATATTCTAGTGTCTGGATTCTGAGTCTCAGAGAGGCTGACTCACTGCTTCTTACCCCTCTGCCATGTTTGGCCAAGGTTTTAGAGGGAACTGTATGCCCAAGGGACAACAATGGGATACAACTCAAAGCCCACTTTCTCAACTACTGCACAAGGACTCAAAATTCCAGGGTGGGAGCACGAGTTTTAGCACTCAGGAAGTAGGGAGCTTGAGGTCTAAATAGGGCCTATTTTCCCTACCTTATTGAAAGCAGCTCATCAGGCTGGGTCTAGTCAGGAGGCCCAAACTACAGAGATTTGAACAGAGAGAATGTGATTGAATGTAAATAATTGTCCAGTTGGTAATCAGGTGTTCCTATGTAGCTAACAGAGAGAACTCTGAAACATATAGAGGTAGCAGCTACCCAAAAGTGACCACCCCTGGGTAACTTTTTCTTTGTGTGAATAAAGGGAAAAGATGAGAATGATTCCACTTTAGAAATGTGGACTACAGTTAATAATACTGTATTGTTTACTTGAAATTAGCAAAGAGAGTGTATCTTAAGAGTCCTTAAACACATACATACATGCACAGTGTTCACTAGGTAGTGATAGATATGTTCATTTAACTGTGATGATCATTTTACAATGTAGACATTTATCAAAGTGATATAGGAGAAATGTAACTCCCAACCTGCTAGAAGTCAGATGTATCAAGTTTGTGTCCACTGAAACTGAAGAATGAATTCCAAGGAACAATGGAGGTTAAGAATAGGAAAGGTTTATTGAGAGATAGCTCCTGAGAGACAGGACGGATCCTGAGTGGATTGCCACCAAGGCCCTTCATCAGGGGTAATTTATACAGTAAAGTCATGATGTAGGTACAGCGTGGGTCCAAGTGCCATCAACTTACAGGGTTATAAGTACAGCCGTTTAGCTAATGTTGATCCATTAGGGAAACGAGTCATGTAACGAGGGCACACGGAAAGAGAAAAGGCATTTGTGGGAAGGGCTGGGTCCAGATGCTCTTGTCACTCATCTGGACAGCTGATGCCTATCTGGATTTCCTGGACCAGGTGGTGGTAAATACAGAATAATTTCAAGTAACTGTTTATCCCTTAGGGAGGCATGTAGGCCTGGCCACTGCATCTCTATCTTGTGGCCTGCCTTTCTTCAACTGCGCCTCCAGCCACAATTCTTTACTTTTTATTTATTTAGTTTTTTTTGTCTTTTTGAGACAGGGTTTCGCTATGCGCTTCAGACTGGCCTTGAGCTCACTTTGTAGCCCAGGCTGGTCTCAAACTCGCAACGATCCTCTTGCCTCAGCCTCCCAAGTGCTGGGATTACAGGCCTCCAGACACAATTCTGATGTCTTTATTTTTTACTGACTTCCTTGAGAGCCCAGTCCCTCTCTGAGTGTATATTAGTTTCTATCTAACTTAGCTGCCTCAAATAAAAGTGTCATACTGTATACGTTGAGTATATTCAATTTTTGCTAATTATATCTAAATAAACCTGTGGGAGCAATCTCTCCCCTCAGAAGAAAGAACCTTGGAGGAACGCCCCGCAAAGCAACCTCAGCCCTTTGATGAGTACTGCCAGATGGTGACTTAGGGCCTGTCACAGGGCTGGGTTGTTTTTAATTTTTAATTTTTTATATTTTGGTTTTGTTCCGGTACCAGGAATCAAACTCATGACCTTGCGCTTGCCAGACAGGCACTGTGCCGCTGAGCTAAATCCCCAGCCCCCACAGGGCTGGTTTTGCAAGTGCTGGGTAAACTACAAACTGGATTCAACTGTTGCTGCAGTGGATGAAGACTGGTAGGTTACCCTCCTGGGAATATGAAGCAGGAAGAAAGATGGAGGGTGGCCCTTATCCCTCCTCTGGTCTCACAGTCTTCCTGTCCTGCTTTATTGACAAGGTCTTAGCAATGAGCAGCTGGCAAAACTGAATTGGGTCTGCAGAGTCTGACCTCAGTACTGCTGAGTTGGCTGGAGAAGGGTGGGATTGGAGTTGACACAGGGCAGCTGGATAAGTGGCATTTGTGCTCAGATACAGGAGTGTGGGCAAAGACAGACGTGACTGATTCCCAAGATGTGGGTTAGCTTCCTGACTTTAGTGTAGACCTGAGTGTATTTTAAGTAAGTGACTTGGGCCAATTTACTTGCTGCTCTGAACTCCCAGTTTCCTCCTGTGTAGTATAATGTGGAGCTGACAATACTTGTGGACACTCAATGTCTTGCAGTAGATCCTTAACACATGGTAGCTATTTGATAATTAGAAATAATAAACAGCTATTTATTACTGAGGTTGTTAAAACTAAACAGAAGAGACGTCGGTCATCATTTTTGCCACTACATTATTGTGCAGATGAAGAAACTCAGACTCAGAAAAAGCCAATAGCTCTTGAGAGTTGAAAATCTTGGTCTCTGGAGTCAATCAGATCTGAGTTCCAATCTTTGCAGTCCATTTCCACTTGCTGGCTAAATGAGCCTAAGTCAGTTCCTCAGCCTCTCTGTTTCACAGTGTTGTGAGGACTGCCGGAACTCACAGAGTGCCTGGCTGTCAGTAAGTTCTCAGTGCATCTCACAGGAATGGCATCATTGTGCTTGGAAAATAGAAGGATCCCTGGGGGGAGAGGATTGGTTCATATGACAGTACTGTCCCATGGAACAGGCAGTTCAGCTGAGCCTGGGTTCTCCATAATGCTGTCTAGAGAACACTCGAAACTTTGGCCATGGTATTACCACTTATTTGCTTTGTAATATTGAACAAATTGCTCTGTAAAGATCATGATACTTGACCTGAAGTCTATTTTCCCCAAATTTTCTGGAAGCTGAACAATGAAACAAGAGTCTTTGGAACCCATCATTCTAGAGTGACTGGGTCCTGGCAGATATGTGGTGTACCACACAGTATCGAAACAAAGGATGCTGTTATTGGAGGCAGGACCTCTGATTTCAGAATATTCTTGTTATAGTCAGCACGTAATTCTTATGTACTAACTGGGAAAAATGACAGTGTGAATAAAAGGAGCCAGCTGTTGTTGATTTTTCTTCACTCTAAAACTCGAGGAGGCATAAGAGACTATATTTTAAACCTCATTATCTCTCACCTGATCTTTCTTTAATACTGTAAAACTACAGGATGATTCAAAGGCTAGTCAGCTCCACACAAGAGATGGTGTGCCTGAATAGTCCACAAACAAAATAATACTTTGAGCTGCTGTTTGTTTAGTATATGCTTCACAGCAAGCATTAGGCTTAGCTCTTCGCCTGTGGTGTCTCATTTTGTCTTTAAGTAACTCTGTGAGGGAGTAAGGCATGTTATTTATCTGGCTTTTGCTTACTGGCTCTCAGGTACAGAAAGTAGAGTGAATCAAATTTCTCAATTCACTGTATGTTGCCATTATTGGTCTGTTCAAGTCCCTTTCCTTATACTGATTATATTGTTTATTCCCTTTTGTCCATTTACCATGTTCATTTTCCTCCCTTATAAATAACCAATCTACTGCATGTAGTATCTTTCTTTTCTTTATATTTTTTGAAATGCATATTGTGATTTTGTCTATATATATTTTAATTGATATAAAATGGTATTATGTTATATTTCTTTCTGTGTCTGACTTTTAATAACTTTTTTAGTGGAAGTGCTGTTTTTAAAACCTACACATGTTACTATGGGTTTATTTAGTATTGCTTCAATTGTGGCATGATGTCCATGGTGCACACCCATCACAGATACACCTTCCATTTCCTAGGGACGGACAGCCAGGCTGTAGTGGTATGAGACTCCCTACTGCCACAGAGAAGCATTTGCATCTCCATTATGTTTCTTTTTTAAAAATCGTTTTATTTAAGGGTGCAGGTAATTGAACTCAGGGCTTTGTACATGCTAGATAAGCACTCTGCCACTGGGCTATATCCCCAGCCCTTCATATGTCTCCCTTTTAGATATTGCTTTGAAGAATACACTATAGTGAAGCAGTGCCAGAGGTGGGTGCTGTTATTATCCTCATTTTACAGATGAGGAATCCGAAGTGCTGAGAGTTTTAAGAACCTCCAAAAGTCACACAGACAGTAATTAGCAGATAAGCACTCTTATTTTGAACTTTCTCAAATTTAGGTACTCTTATTCTGAAATTTCTACCCTTAATGGCTATGTCACCATTATTCTCTCAGTGTTTGCGACTTGAGGACATTTTCATAAAAAAACATAAAGGCAATCTCGTTGCAGTTTTTACATTTGCAGGACCTAGGAATCCAAGTGGACTGATTGTTTTTTGTTAAAGCACCTATTTTCCCCCAAGAGCTGCATAGTAACTGCTTTTTCTCTGACTATCACATCCTGTGTGTCCGCAGCGCTGAAAGCCGCATTAGTCATCCAGAACTGGTACCGAGGTTACAGAGCTCGGCTGAGGGCCAGACTGCAATATGCCCTTGCCATCTTTGAGTCCGTTGAATATGCTGATGAACAAAGCCAAATGCAGGTCTGTTTTGCAAAAGTGTCTCTTTTTGGTAAAATGCTTCCTTTTACTTCTTGTTATTGAAAGAATGAAAATTTGCGTCAAACCTTGGTGAAAGGTTTTTCTGTTTTTCCTTTTGGTAGTTACTTGGGATTGAACCCAGGGCCTTTGTACTGAACTGCATCCCTAGTCCTTTTCATTTTTTATTTTGAAACAGGGTCTCGTGCAGGCTGGGCTCCAACTTGCCATCCTCCTGCCTCAGTGTCCCAGAGTACTGGGATCACAGACATGTGCCACCATGCCCCGCATGAAAGACTTTAATAGAAGATGTGACATTGCCTTGGAGCAAGCTGTTGAGAGAGTGTAATTTGGGAAGAGGATGGTGTTTCTCACTTTTGAAGTTTACATTTTTCACAGGGCTACCAGATGTCTAGTTAACTAATAAAAATAGTCTTATTCTATTTTTGTGTATCTGCCCTAGTGGAAAGTAGTTCCTTTATAAAGGGAAAAAATACTTTAGGGAGTTAAACAAGTGGAAGAATTTCCTCAGAACAAACTTACGAAAATTCTGGAAGAAAATCTACATGAATAAGAAAGGCCTTTTAAAATCTTGCCACAAAGATTCATAAACCCAACTTTAATACTTATTAATAAAATGGGCATTTTTAACAATAAAAATGATGTTGGAAATATCTCTAAAATAGTTGTTGATGAAAAATCACCTTGTAGGATAATACAGAGAGTTTATCCCACATAGGTGAAAGAAAATTAAACATGCAACAAAATTCTGGAAAAAGGTACACAGCAAATTGTTTACAGTGGCTAGCTCTGGGTACAGAGTAGTGCTGATGGGGAGGAGGGGATGTTAAGAGGGATTTCTCATTTTCATTCGGTATTGTTTGTAGTTTTTAACAATCATGTTTTGTAACACATTGTGACCTTTAAAAATAATTAAGAAAATTTCAAAAAGTTAAATTTCTGGATTTCTTCTTGGCAGCTACTAAAATGGTACACTGGGATTCAATCAAATGTTCCCTTTTCCCTAATTAAGAGCTCCAGCGTTGCCTGTCTTTTAAGCACTGCCTGATCTTACCACCAAAGTGAAAAGAAACAATCATAATGAAGAAAATTTTGTAGCTGTCTTAGACAGAACTGCAGAGTCTGAGACAAGGATTCTGATGCAACTGACTTGTGGAGGGAGTGTTCTCAGGAAAAATCTGTAACCCAGTGAGGAAAGCATGATAAGAGGGAGAAGTCAGGCAAAAATGTGCTTCTGGAGAGCTCTAACTTTAGACTGATCCCATCGGGAGCTCTCAAGTGTGAGATGCATGCGTTTGTCCCACGTAGGGACAGGGAGGTGGGGGGACTGGGTGCTTCATTCAGTTGTCTGAGAGCAGCCTCCGGGGAGGGGCGAGGCAGTGCTACCCAACCGCAAGGGCAGGGACCTGTGGGACCCTTCGCACCAGCAGCAGCTGGGAGGTGAATGCCCGAGGAGAGTAAGGGACTTGCACATGGCACTTGCTGCAGTAACTGTTTCGGGTTCATTAATTGATTAATGTATTTTTATTTTGTCCAGCTATCTGACTTCTTCTCCTTCATGTTGGAAAACTACACACAAATACGTAAGGACGATCCAGGTAAGCAAATAGTTTAGTCTTTCGCAAAGCAATCATTACATACTGAATGCCCTCCTCAAGAAGTGTAAATCCTGAAGATGGGCAAACACCAAGAAATTAAAAAGATACCCATCTTTTCTTGTCTGTGTGGCACCCAGCAACTGGTGAAATCAGTTCAGCTGGCTTTTCCCTGCCTGCATGGTGCCTGCTAAATTGACATAATGTTTTCACTTTTTAAACAACTGAATTAGACTTCACTCAGCATTCATTTGTTGAATTCCTCTCTTGAACCAGTGTGTGGATGCACAGCAGTAGCCCAGTAAAGATCTTATTTTTCAGTCACAAACTGTCAGTGCTGAGAAATTAAAATATCATGAATATATACATCACCCAGTAAATCTGGGTGAACGTAGCAGGTTAAATACAGTTGACCTCAACTTGTTTCTATGTTCTTCTCTCCCCATCCCCTTCGCTCTCTCTCCCGTCTATGTGTTTATCAGCTGCAGTTTGAATATGCCCCCCCAAGTTCATGTGTTAGAAACTTAATCCCCCGTGCAGCAGTGTTAAGAGGTGGGACTTTTGGGAGGTAATTAGTCATAAGGGGCCTTGCCCTCTTGTATGGGTTAGGGCCATTACCAGGAGAATGGGTTCATTATCATGAGAGTGGTGTCCCTATAAACTATAAATTCACTCTCTGCCCTCTTTCTTGCACATATGTACTCATCATATGATGTCTTCAGCCACGCTGTATTTTTAGCATAGGAAGAAGGCCCTCACCAGACACAGCCCCTTCATGTTGAACTTTCCAGCCTCCAGAACCCTTGGTCAAATAAATTTGTGTTCATTCTAAATTATCCAGTCTGTGATATTCTGTCACAGCAGCATAAGAGGGCTACCTGTCTGTCTGTTTCTATCCTCTATCCTCTACTGAGTCGTTCTGAATCAGAGACAGGCAATATAGGTGTGGTTCAAAAATTATTTTAAATCTGTAATTATTCACAAGGTATGTAGTTCTCCTGAAAATTAAGATCTGGCTGATAGCTCCAAGGTCAGTACAAGACTTAAAAACTCATTTTTTCCTTTACTTTGAGCTATTTTTTGTTCTACTTAAAATGTGTATGATATCTAGGAGCATGTTTTAAGTAATGTGGAAAAAACCACTTCGAAGTGGTGAAAGCATAGTGTTTTAATTTCATGATTTGAGATAAGAACACGGGTATGACACTAATTAAGGCATTTAATGATCTGCACAAACTTTCTGCATGGTGGAAACCTGAGGAGCGGGGAGTGGGTGAAAGAGGATACTTTGCCATTTTCTTCCTTTTTGATAATTGCAGTCCGAAGACAGTTGCTTGTGCTTTGTGCTTTTGGCAAAAATGTTTTTGAGAGGAAACATAGTGATGAAATAGGACTCTTTCTGCTGTTCTAATATAATTCCACCTAGCCTCATCTCATCAGTCACTTACAGAGTTTCAGAACCACGGGTGGTCGGATTCCAGCCCACAGATATTTACTCAGACTCTGTATTTTTAAAAATCTGCACTAAAATTATTTTGCAAGTGATTTTTAAAATATAACAAAATATTTTTTATCAGAGAAGATAATAGTGATTTTTTGAAAGTATAACATACTTTGCAGGGAGGGACACAATACATTTTCTCAAAGAAAACACCCATAAACTAGGCACCCAGAACAAGAAAAGAAACACGATCAAAGTCATAGAGAATCCTTCCCGCCCTCTTCCAGTTACTACCCAGCCTCTACTCTACTCTGTAACTATTTTCTGAACTTCCACACCCTAGATTAGTGTTGCCTCTTTTGAGGTTTTTTTTAATATAAAAGAAAACATACAATATATATTCTTTTTTTGTTCTTTCTTTGAGGTAGAATCTCCCTGTGTAGTTCAGGCTGCCTTGGCGCTCAGGCTGGCCTCAAAGTTAAGGCAATCTTGCTGCCTCGGCCTGCAGAGTGCTGGGATGACAGGCATGCGCCACCATGCGTAGCTAGATATATGCTGTTGAGCCCGGCTTCTTTGACTTCTTATTGCCATTGGTTGATTTCTAATGCCCTCTTTGATGGGAGGGTTCCAGATAACCCTTACTAGATCTGCTTAACTGAAATTCTGAGATCCCTAAACAGGGTATTCTTAGGTACCAGAAGGTTATTTAAAGTTCCCAGATATTGAGAACAGGTGGATGGATTGAATTTTGAGGCACAGAGTATCTTGAGACATTTTGGGTATTCCAGAAGTGAAAGGTAACCTGAAAGCAGTACTTGTCTTTGCAATCTCATCACCTCTTTTGTGAAATCAATTATGTCACTGTAAAACGAATTTAAAAAGTGTGATGGAGAGTAGTGATTTCCCATAAACTTTCTTAGTCTACTTTTTACATTAGGCTCTTCCCAGGCAGGAAGCCCCAACTGCCGTATCTAGCAGTAAGTTGAAGAGAGACGTATGGTGGGAGAGGGATGGGGCATGTACAAGTGTTGTTTTCACTTTTCTTTGTTTCCCATCAGCCAAAATATCCTATAGGATATATATATATATATATATATATACACATGCCATCATTTATGAATTTTTATCTTTGACAGTGCTGGGGTATTTTTATGTTTTACTACCATGGTGGTAGGTTAGTTTTCTTGTGATATCTTCCTATTGACTATTGGTAGTATTTTGGAAAACTTTTCACTTATGTCTATTTATCTTATTTAGTACTTCTATTGACTAGAATATTAATGAAAATTATTGCTGATTTTTATTAAATTGCATATTTTTATTAAATGTTTACCATGTTCCATGTATTTAAGTGCTTTAAATGCATCATTTCATTTAGTTTTCATGACAAATCCATGAAGTTATTATTATTTTTCTCCTTTCATAAATACAGAGTCTGAGGCTTAGAGGGTAATCCCCCAAGGTTATTCACCTCCGCATCGGTAAAGCTGTGATTGGAACCAGTGTGATTCACTCTGCATTTTGTATAATTCTTCTGTTGGTTCTTGGAGATTTTCAGTTCATTTTCTTGAGTATAGTAATAATATTGGCAACAAATACCTTTATTTTTATATCTAATTGTTACCACTTTTATTTCAGCTTCATGTCTTATTGTCTTGGTTGGAGATAGCAGAACAATATTAAAATGAAATAGTGAAATGGGCATTCTTGTTTTGTTGATGATTTAATGGAAAAAAATTACTGTTTATTTAAATTTTAAAAATTATACTAAGGAAATATCCTCCCATTCCTAGTTATTTGAGTTTTAAAGAATCAGTAATAAGTATGAATTTTATGAACTGTTATTTTGTCACATTGAATTTATTATCTAGACACCAAGGTTTTAATCCATATTCCTAATTGGGAAGTGAAATAGCTCTAAATGTGGTTCATTTGGTGCTTTTCTTTCTCCAGCAATACCTAGAGCTAGTTTTCAAAGTGATATGTAGGTAGTGGAGGCATCAATTGTTTTTTTCATTATGTGCTTTAAATTTTTCCCTGTCTAGAGTTTGAGTATGTACTGGGCCAAAGAAAAGATTGTGTGTGGGTGGTATTTTTGAGGTATTTTCTTTAGAACAACTTGTAAAGGTATTATTTGGTTGTAATTCAAGATTTTATTAGTTAGATTCATGTTGATAAAACTCTAAATCAAACAGCTAAGGATTAATTCTAATTGCACAGTGCACAAATCTTCATATATTGTTGACATGCATTGACATATTGTTGTTAGTTAAAATATCTGTAGCCCACAAGGACAGTATGTGCATAGAAATGTTAAAGCTTTTTCATTGTTTTCATATGTGACAAACAGTAGCTACTGGAAGAGAATCTACATTATTCTTTGTTATGTTGCTAAAAACCAGCAAAAGAATAATGATTTGATATTGATTGATATTCATATTGAGTAGTTTTAATTAAGAGTTAGCTTAGGGAAATGGTGCTTTGGCATATATCAATCACTGAACTTTATAAAGAAGGGGGTCATCAAGTGTAAGGAAGGAAAGACCAAACTGAGCTTATTTTTAAAAAAGAAGAATAATAAATTTTTATTTAGTTCTTAAACAACAATACTGAGTTGTAATCACTAGAAATGATGGAATTAGCTTGTATCAGTTAGCCAATAGGAAAAGGGGAGAAGACTAATTTTATTTTTTTTTATTTTTTTATTTTTTGGTACTGGAAATCAAACTCAGGACTTTGTGCTTGCCAGGCAGGCATTTACGCCACTGAGCTATATCCCCAGCCCAGAGATGAGCTGACAGACCATGGGTGAAAGCAATGATTGGGAAAATGAAGTCATTTCTTATTTATACCTCACAAATTGGAATTCCTCAATAAATCAGTTATAAGCGTGTAAATTGTATTACATATAGTATAAGATAAATATATTTTAAAATATGTAGTAAAAGTATAATGGTGAAGACTTTGAGCTCAAGGCCATCTTGTTTGGGATTTGGTTCCATCTTTCTACTGTGCTCTACTTCCCTCATGTAAAAAATGAGGAAATAACGATATTTATCTCATAGAGTAGTTGTGATCGTTACACGAATATATGCATGCAGAGTTTAGAGCAGTGCCTTGCACAGAGTAAGCAGTCAGTAAGTGGGAGCTCTTGTTGTCATCATCATCATCATCATTACCAATGTGGTGCCATGGACAATGTGGGGTTTGAGGCTCAACCTGGATGAGTTGCTGAATTTGAAGGCTAAGTAAAAATTATCTAAAGAATAGAAAGACAGAAGAGAGGAAGCCTAAGGAGAGGAAACAGTAAGAACAATAAATAAATGCCAAACCGTAGAGTGCTAGGAGTGGAACAGGAAATCTTCTCCCTTAGTGTGAGCAGATATGCGGTCCAAGGGTGGCAGTTTAGATTGGTGGAACCTTCAACTATATTTAGTAGCGTTACCATATCTGAGGAGGATCATGCTCAAAGTATAGCAACAGAGAAAGCGACTAATGAGGTTGCCAGGCCTTTGAGAATTTGGTAGAGGAATACGGTGGGACAGCCCCATATGCAGATGTACATCTTCAACATCTTTTCTTCCTTCTCTCCCCATCTGGGTTTCTAAGTCAGGCCTGCTTCAAAGCTACACTACTTTTCTCATGAATACTACAAGCATGTCCTAAAATTCCTCCCCATCTAAAAAACAAAATCCCCTAGTTTTACATGAATTCTATATTCACTTTATTTCTTAGATTCTGTAACAGAAAATAATTTTTACAAATCTGTTACAAAATGCAGTGAAACTGCTGGGTGGGGTGTAGAGCATTGTTGGAAGGAGTGTGTTGGTTTTCTCTAAGAATTGCTTCATAGTTCAATATATAGAGTCAAAAAAAAATATATCTTTGAAGCAAAATTCATCTCAAAGAATGACTACCAAATTGAAATGAGTGGTATGATCACTGAGAAGGCTAAGTAGACTATTTAGCCTCAGGTTCACATAACGAACCTGAGATAAAGTTTACTGAGATGCTTTGCACTTTTAATTTCTAACATAAATAAAAATGACTTGTTATTCTTAAATCTCAAACAAAATCTAGGTGAGAAAAACAACTCTCCTGGACCATATTAAAAACAGATATTATTACTCCTAAATTCCACTTCTTATAGAACATTATCAAACATTACCAAAAAATACTGGGTTACACAACAGTTCAGAAAATATTTTTAAAGTAACCAAATATTATGACTTTAGAAAATTTTTTTTACCAAATATTATGACTTTAGACAAGTTTAGTTCTCAACTGTAATCTCTCAGCATAACTGGGTCATGAAAATAATGTATTCTGTCTACATCTGTGGACATACCTTCCGAACCTGACCACTCTAAATTATTAAAAACGATAGAAGCTATTTGCAGAGAACTTCAGATGAATGACCTTACTTAGTGTTAATGAGTTGAACAGTTTGTCATTATCCTCTGGTATATCTCTCACTGAAATAGTGCTGTGTATTAACCACAATAACTTAGTGACATATAATAAGCATTTCTTTTTTCTAGGAAGTGTACAGATTAGCTAAGCACCTCTTGTAATGTTAGCAAACAGCTTTAAGGGTTTTGGCTGGAGTTTACTCACGTATGTGGAGGTTTGCTGGCTGTTGGCTGATCTAGAATAGCCCTGGCCAGGATGATTCACTTCTGCCCCACATGATCTCGAACCTTTCACTTGGCTAGCCTAAGTTCAGGGTTCCAAAAGAGCGCATGGATGCATACGAGGCTTTCAGAGACCTGGACTTGGAGCTGGTGGGTATCATTTCTACCATGTTCTTCAAGCCAGTATAAATAATGAGCCCAGCCCTGCTTTAAGGGACAGAAAAATACGCTTGATAAGAACAGTTATGAGGCCACATATTAAAAATTATGGGTAGATGTTGGGATAGAGAATTGAAGCCACTTTTGCAATCAGTCTGCCCTATCCCTTTTCATCTTTCTCTGTCTGAATTGTCTGGATTTCTGGTTTTGGGCTATTTCGTGGTCAATCTAGCAAGAAATGACGGTGGCTCTCAGAACCTATTAAAATGGACACGGCAAACAGTCTGTTACTATACAGTAATGTCTGTCAGAGAGAGACAGACAGACAGACACAGAGATAGAGACAGAGACAGAGAAAGGAGAGGGAGACCTTTTGGTTTTTCTGCCTATGGTTTGCCACTTTATCAGCTTCATTACCAATAAAGAATGAAAATCATGTCAGAAAATTAATTTTTATTTGAAGAGAGAAACAAATCAATTATGACTAAGTAAAATCCTCTGAAGTGTTTAACATGGGAAAATTAAATGTTACAGTTTAATTTTTCTGTAGATCTTGAATAGCAGCAGATGTCTGAACCAAATACAGTGCATTATTATGTTTTTATCCCTATTCATAATGACCTAAGATAAAAGAGTAGGCAAAAATTTAGAGCTAGAAATTCAGAGTATTAAAATGCTTTGATTAATCAGTTTTTACTGTGTTTTTCCTTCTCTCCACTGATTATGGACTCACTACTTTGACAAAACTTATCCAAGGAAGGAATGATGTGGGTACAAGTGAATGTACCTTCTGGTCTCAGAATCAGTCACTCCTCATTGTTATATGTGGATTATCTCGGTATTCATAACATTTAGCGCAGTGCCTTACATGGGTTAGGTATTCAGAGATCTTCATTAAATTTAAGTATTAGAGTGTTGATTCCTATTCCTCATCACACCTTCTGTTTTTCCTTTTCCAGATTTATCAAATCAACTTCTCGAAAACACCAAGGATAGACAGGAGTATATAGGATTGATAGAGGTCCCAGATTCCTACGATGGTCCACGACTGCAATTTCCCCTCAGTTTTACTGATATCGTTTTACTTGTTGAGGCCTTCAAGAATCAAAAGGCAAGTGGAAGTAGAAGTTGCCCTCATTCTTGTACATAACGGGTGCTCGGTGGAGGTTTATTGAGTGGACAAATGAATGCATGAGTGAATGAAAAGAGCACAGCAGAAATGTATTTCCTTGGGAAAATGTTTCATGTTATGTGAACGTTACCATTCGCTTTGTAAAAACCTATTAAATAGGAAGTCTTTTCAGGTGCCCAGCAATCTATGCTTAACAATATTTCCTTTTTTTTCCTGAGATAAGATTCATATACCCAAAACTTCGCCATTTTAAAGTATACTGCTTGGTGATGTTTGGTATACCCACAAGATTGTACAATCCCCACCAATATCTAATTACAGAACATTTTCATCATTCCCAAAAGAAAAGCTGCACTCACTTGGCATTCCCTCCTCTCCTATACTAGGCAACCACTATTCTACTTTCTGTTGGTGTGGATTTGCCTATTTTATGTATTTCACATAAATGAAGTTATATAGTATGTGGCCTTTTGAGTTTAGCTTCTTACACTTTAGTTTTTTGGGGTTCATCCATGTCACAATATGAATCATTATTTCTTTTTGGTTCTTTTTATTTTATTGGTACATCTTAGATATATATAATGATAACATTCATCATAGGGAGTTTGTACCTGTATGCGGTATATCTTGTTTCTTCTTCCCCTCCCCTCCCTATTGCCCCTCTTACAAAAGCTTTGTTTCCATTTTTCCTTCTATTTTTTCCTTCTCCCTTCTTTCCTTGCCACCACCCTGTGTTCCACTTCTTATTTGAACATTTTCTTCCCATTTCCCAATATCTACCATACATTTTAGTCTTTATTTACATTTTCGGTTTCTCAGAGCATAGAAACCATATGCTATTTACACATGTGTGTCCAATTTGTTTCACTTAAGCATATGGCCTCAAACTGCATCCATTTAGCTAGAAATGTCTCAATCTTATCCTTCTTTATGGCAGAGTAGTACTCCATTATATTAAAAACACGCATCTTCTTTACCCATTTATTGGTTGATTTGCATCTGGGCTGTTTTCAAGATTTAACTATTGCAAACTGTGCCACTATAAAGACGGGTATGCATATATCGTTGTGGTGTGATGCTTTTAATTCTTTCAGGAAAATACCAAGAAGAGGAATAGCTGGGTCAAATGGAACCTCTAGTTTTAGTTTTTCGAGGAATCTCCACATTGATTTTCACAGTGGATGCACCAGTTTACACTCCCATCAATAGTGAAGAGTTTCTTTTTCCCCATAGCTTCACAGTATTTGTTATTGGTTGATTTCTTGATAATAGTCATTCTTTTTGGAGTGAGATGGAATCTCAGTATTGTTTTAACTTACGTCTCTTGAATGATCAGTTAAAGACAGCCTTGTCGGGTCCTCATCACCCAGGAAGTTTATATTTGTAATCCCGTGGAAAAGTTATTGGAATTCTGGTGAGTTAATTCCAATCTACCACTTCCAGTGCAAGCCATGGTGAGAATAAAGACACTAAGGCATATCTGTAGTTATGGGGAGCCAACGGATCCTAAGTCCAGCCACAATGATTGCTATCTGGAATAAAGGCCTCCACCCAGGACCGAACCCAGGTTTTATTAATTCATGAAGAAGTAGCTTGAGGATGAGTGACTAAGAGAACCGTGGGAAGTAGGTGAGTGCCATGAGCTGGGCTAGGCAGGAGGCCTGAAATCACCTCTGCAATATGCAGAGAGAAGGATATGCAGAAAGAGTAATCTGCATAACACAACTGAGACAGTGTCTAATGTTTTGAGGTGGGTGCTTCAGCTCTGATGTGTAATCTTTCAAGCCCCAGGAAGTCATAACCTCTATCTTAAGGCTCCATCCCACCCAACAGTGTGGCACATTGGCTCTTCATCCCACAAGGGAACGATGGAGGGGGGGTTTCCAGGGAAACACACCTGCTACCTTCAAAGACTACTACCATCAGTGACTATTACAGTCCGCACCTCGGCTAGACCAATATGCATTGTTTAAAGCTGATTAAAGTGATAAGGAAAAGTCCTAGCCAGCTCTGTGCACATCAATACATGGAAATAGAGTTAAGCTCAGCCAAAATGGAGACAATTGCTCCTTCTTCAAGGAGAGTCGCCCAGGTGGTCCTCCACAATCAGTGATGTTGAACATTTTTTTCATATATTTATTTGCCATTTCTACTTCTTAATCTGAGAAGTGTCTATTCATTTCAGATGCCCATTTCTGGATTCGATCTTTGGGTTTTGGGGGGGGTCTGATTTTTTTTTTGGGTTGTTTATATATTGTAAATATTAGTCCTTTGTCTGAGGAACAGCTGGCAAAAAATTTTTCCCACACTGGGTTGTCTATTCATTCTGTTGGTGGTTTCTCCTGCTGTGTAAAAGCTTTTAAATAAGATCAGATCCCAGTTGTTGATTCTTTGTGATAGTTTTTGTGTAACTGGGGTTTTGTTCATAAAGTCTTCCCCCACACCAATGTCTTCAAGAGTTCTACCTATTCTATTTTCCAGCAGATTTAGTGTTTCTGTTTTAATATTTAGATATTTGATCCATTTCGATTTTAGTTTAGTGCATGGTGAAAGGTATGGGTCTAGTTTTAATCTTTGGCACATGGAAAGGCAGTTTTTCCAGTACCATTTATTACAGAGGCCATCTTTCTGTAAAGATGGCCACTTTGTCAAAGATAAAGTGACTGAATATGTTTGGAGTTGTTTCTATATCCCTTATTCTGTTCCTTTGATCCTCATGTCTGGTTTTTTTCAGTACCATGCTTTTTTTTTTTTTTTTTTTAATCACAGAAGCTTGTAGTATAAAGTCAGGTCACAAATTGTGATGGCCTCTGCCTTGCCTTGTTGCTCAGAATTGCATTTACTATTGTAGGTCTCTTCTACTTTTAGATGAATTTTAGGATTGTTTTCTCTAATTCTGTGAGGTTGGTATTAGAATTTTGAGCAGGATTGCATTAAATCTGTATCACAATTTTGTAAGTATGGCCATTTTCACTATATTGGTTTTTCCTAACCAAGAACCAGGGATAGCTTTCCACTTTCTGATATCCTCTTTGATTTTTTTTTTCCAGAGTACTGTAGTTTCCAATGTAGGGGTCTTTTACTTCCTTTCTTTAGATTGATTCCTAGGTATTTCATTTTTTTGGATGCTATTGTGAAGGGTGTTGTTTCCTTAATTTCTCTCTCAGTGAGTTTGCTATTTGTGTATAGGAAGGCTATTGATGTTTGAGTGTTGACTTTGTATCCAGTTACTTGACTGAATTTGGTTATTAAATCTATGTCCTTTGGTGGAGTTTTAAGGATCTTCTATGTAGAATATCATGTCATTCACAAATAATGATAAATTAAGTTCTTTCCTTCCTATCCTTATTCCTTTTATTTCTATCACTTTTCTAATTGCTCTGGCTAATGTTTCCATAACTATACTGAATAAGAGTAGTGACAGCTGACATCCTTGTTTTGTTCCTGCTTTTAGAGTGAAAGCTTTCAGTTTTTGTCAATTTAGTATGATGTTGGCTGTTGGTTTGTCATAGATGGCTTTTATCAGATTAAGATAAAGACCATCTATTCTAATTTTCTGTAGAGTTTTTTATCATGAATAAGTGTTAGACTTTGTAATAAGCTTTTCTTTATCTATTGAGGTGGTCATGTGGCTTTTGTCCTTGATTTTGTTGATATGGTGCCTTACATTTATTGATTTGCATGTGTTGAATCCATCCCTGCATCTTTGGAATGAATCCTACTTGGTCATGGTATATAATCTTAATGATTTGCTGCATTCTGTCTCCAGAATTTTACTGAGGAGTTTTGCATTTATGTTCCTTAAGGAGATTGGCCTGTAGTTCTTGTTTTTTGGTTGGGTCTTTCTTTGATTTTCGTATCATGCTAATGCTTGCTTCCAGGAATGAGTTTGGGATTATTGTTTCCCTTTCAATTTCATTAAGGAGTTTGAGGAGTAGGGGCATTAGATCTTCTCTAAATTTCTTGTAGAATTCAGCAGTGAATCCATCAGGGCCTGGGCTTTTTTTGTTGGTAGGTTTTTAATTACTTCAATTTCATTGACTGATATTGGTTTATTAAGGATTTTTATGTCTTCTTGATTCAACATTGGTAATTCATATGTGTGTAAGACTCTGTCCCTTTCTTTTGTGTTTTCCATCTTATTAGAATATATTCTCTTGAGATATGTATTGAGGATCTTCTGGATTTCTGCAAGATTTCTTTTTATCTCACTCTTTTTATTCCTAATTGCATAGACTTGGGTTTTTCCTTTTGTTTTTAAAAATAAGGTTGACTAAAGCTTTGTCAATTGTATTTAATCTTTGAAAGTACCAATTCCTCCATTCATAGTATTTTCTTAGTTAATGGCATGAATTTCTTCTCCGATCTTTATAATTTCCTCTCTCATATGAGCTTAGGGATTGACTTGCTCTTATTTTTCTAGAAGTTTGACATTCAATATTAGTTTGTTCATTTGAGTTTACCTTGTTTTCCTGATATGGGTATTCAGAACCATAAATTCAGGACTACTTTCATTGCATCCTGTAAGTTCTGGTATGTTCCACTGGCATTGTCATTTAATTGTAGAAACTACTTAACTTCTTCTTTAATTTCATCTGTGACACATTGGTTTTCAGCAGGATGTTATTTAATTTCCACATGTTTATAAAGTTTTTGTTTTGCCATTGATTTTCAATTTTATTGCACTGTGGTCTGATAATATGCATGGGATAATTTCAATTCCTTTGCATTTACTTAAACATGTTCTATGGGCTAGTATGTGGTCTATTTTGGAGAAGTCCCATTTGCAGCTGAGAATATGTATGCTAATATTCTGGTGTGGAATACTTTGTAGACATCTACTAAGTCCATTTATTCAATAGCTTGGTTCAGTTCTGACATTCCCTTGTTGATTTTTGTCTAGTTGATCTTTCTCTTTGTGACAGCGGGGTATTGAGGTACACCACTGCAACTGTATTAGTGTTTATTTGATTTTTCAT